AAAATACAACTTAATACCCGAAAATCTTTGGCAAGCAAGAGAAATAGGTTAACTTCAAAAAGTCGAAAATCCTTTTGGTGGGTTGAACTTTTGTGAACCCTCCAAAAAATTTCTTTACAATAAAATGACCGCATTTAAATACATAACAAAACAGTGTGTGTATGGGGGGGGGGGGGGTTTAATGAACACTTTCACAGTAAATTAAAAATAAAACTTTTAAGTTTGAAAAAAGGAGGGGCCAAGCTACCCCTCCCCTCTGCTTTTACGTCGCTGACGGCAATGAATTGCCGAGTGTGCGTTGATTCAAGACTTGCTTCGTCAAGAATATTCGTTTTGGTTTTTTTTTTCTGTTGCATTGAGTAAGACAAGTAGAAATTGAAAATCGTTCCCCAATTTTAAATGCAATCATTATGTTTTTTATGATCTTAAAGAGTTTATTTTTTTCTTAACAAGAATTTTATAGGATTACAAATTCTTTAACTACTGTTCATGTAATAAAATCTCGTTCTTTTTTATGTGGATGACACCACAACCAGCATTCAAAGGAAAATTTACAATAGTAATATAGTATATTCAGAAAAGGGGGGGGGGGTAGCCTCCGCGTTCTACGGACCTGAAATAAGGGGAAAAATAATGATCCCTCTTATTTATTCTTGCAATTTAATGACTTCAAAAAACTGAAATTACTTTGGTGGGGTAAGTCCACTTCATTGTTTTTTATGCATAACATTCTATCATTTCATATTCATCATTTCATTTTCCAATTCAGCATTTAAAAATCCCATTGCTCAAATATGTTGGTCTCTAAAACCATGATTTTTTACGAAATGCAGTTCATACAGCACCCTTTAGTTTTCTTATCCCTTTGCTCAAATGTTTTACAACATTTTGAAAGATCAAACAAAAAAGACGGTTTGTTTGCATGAAACAATTTAATTGCATCAACTATACAAAAAAAGTACATAAAAAGAATGCTGACATGAAATAAGATACACATGTATAAGCCAAGTGTTAATAGATAATTCTTGCTGTTAATTTTTAAGGTATCCAAAATAAGTTTATTTTCACAGAACAACCAAGGACAATCAGTCAGTATTTGTGCAAAATATAGTGACATTTTCTTAGTGCATTAAACAACATACAAGTTTCGAAATAAAAAAAAAAAACTCTTTAAGCTTAAAGCTGACAACCAAGCAAGAAATATAAATATCATGCAGTTAATAACTTCCTGTGTTTAAAATGCAACAAAAGGCCCTAGGCTTTGACTATTACCTGAGTATTATGAATTTCTCAGGCTGTGGTCATTTCAAAACCGCCTGGATCTAGAAATCTAGACCCATGCAACAAAAATCGTAAATTTTCACAAGAATTCTATATTTATTATCATATTGATGCAGCTGAACTCCTAGAAGTTCAAAAGTAAAGAGGATAAGGTATACTGGCTAATACTGTATAAAACATTCTAATTTATGACTAACTCTGCCTTTTCATGGGCCTGAAACATGAAGAAGTTTTCAATTAGAGGGCTAAGCATTAATTAAGATTAATTTTAGAGGTCCATGTTTGCTCTGCTACGAATATGGATTATTCTAATGGACTTTTGAGTTTGATTACTATTCATAATCTTCATATTTAATTTTATGCCTGCTAGTTTGCCTGCTAGATGTTCCCCAGTAAAGGATTTTTTAAAACTTCAATTTACAGCCCATAGCAAGGGTTTCAAAAGTAGGGGGGACTTCAAAAAATATCTGACAAGCAAAAAAAAACATTATTTACTGAACCGACCTTATTGCAACAAAAAAGGGGGGGAGGGGCAACCAGGATATAAAGGATACTTTATTATAGCAAAATACTATACTCAGAAAAAGTGGGGGGGGGGGGGGGGGGGGTGGTTCTATGGGCCTGTTGCAGTGTCAATATAAATAGGTAAACCTTGCATGAACAATGGGTCATGAGCGATAAATTTCACAAATTTGGGTTAAAAAATAATTACTTGCTTAAATTATGCAAACAGCTGTCTGCTACATGTCCATGAAAAAAAATTTATAGGATATATTTTTTTCAATATTCAGCTCCATCCTGAACCTATATGCAAAAATGAATCTCACAATTTTTTGTACTTAAAGAGCTATGGGCTTATATGATATGCATACCATCAACTGCCTGCTGGCAAAACTTCTCACAAAAGAGACATGAATGTTTTTTATTATCATAGTTCCCAGACGATGTTTTTGGCCTCTAAAAACCTGGTCTTTCGCTTCTCTGACTGTGGTAAAACTTTGCCGACATCATCATGATCATCTTCACATTCACTGTCCTTTTTGCTGTCACTTGCAAGTGCAGCTTGTTTCTGCTGCATTTCAGATTTGAGAGGCTTACTGGGCATATCTGAAATTATTATATATGTACATGTATTGACAAAAGGGATTCATCTTTATTTTTATAGAAGAGGCCAATGGGCCACATGGCTCACCCAAGTCACAATGGCCCTGCACATCCCCCCCCCCCCCTATATATCCCTATGTAAAGCTTTGATTGCCTATTATGGCCTCATCTTACCCATTCAAACCTAATGAAGAGATATGAAAGTTGTTTTTCCATACTTCAATCTGTTAGGCATGATTAAAACACTCTATGTAAGCTCCTTATGGAGATATTTATAATTTATAATGCTGGCTAATGAACATCATGTTAATGTGATGCAAAGGAAAGTAATTTATTTAAAATGAATTTTGTCAATTTATCAGACTGTGATCATGTCTGGAGAAAAAAACAACTTATGGAATTAATCCTTAACTGTAATAAAGAAACAGTCATACTTAAAATTCAAGACAGAAATTCTGCCAGAATTTTAATTCACTTTAAACAATCTACATATTGTACAATGTAATACATAACACCTTATACAAGAGGCCCATGGTCCATGACACCTGAGCCCTTTTGCAAGAGAAAAGCAGAAATCAGTTCAGTATTGGAAAGTTTGAGTAATTATACAATTGGTGCCACCCTATGCCCTGTGGGTGATGATTTGAACAAACCTGAAACTACTTCTCCCATCCTACCCCTTGATGTTACGATTTGAATAAATTTGAATGTACACTACCTGAAAAATACTCCTGTATTAATATTACAAAATCATGGCTTTGCTGTTCTTGAGAAGAAGGCCTTTAAAGACATTTTCTATATAATTCCATGTAAAAGTCTTATGCCCCATTGTGTCCCCACCCTTCTGCCAGGGGTCATTAGTTGATAAAACTTCAAGCTACATTACCTGAGTATGCTTCTGTATTAATATGACTTGTCATGGCTTTGCTGTTCTGGAGAATAATTTTTCTGGCCCACTCAGACCTGTTTAACTTTTCTAACTGATGTCAGTATTCTAGAAGTTGTCAGTATTTTGAGCAGTTTGTCAGTAAAAATGCAACTCAGCTTATTAGACATTTTTATATGAAGAACCCCTTGTTATACAAATACTAAGCACTAACTACGCAAGTCACCGTATGCTGTCTACTGTTGCTTACATATTTTACATTTGCCGTAATTATATTGTTTTTAGATCATTTTTGATAAGACCACTTCAATCAACAAGCTTCTTTATCAAACTGATTGGCAAATTTCGGGAACGACTCTGATTTTTTCCGTCTTTAGGGAAAATCTGTATATTTTCAACGTGAATCTGTAGAGCACTTTTTTACTCGAAGATTCATGGAAAATACTAAAAAGCTGTACAAGTAAACAACTCTGCCCATTGTTTCTGGAGAAGATTGTTTTAAAGATGCCATCAAATTTGCACTTATTTTTGATTATATCCCCTTAAAATAGGGTGATGCCTTTCATGTGAACAAACTTGAATCCCCCACCGAAGAATACTTTGTGGCAAGTTTGGTTGAAATTGATGCAGTGGTTCTTGAGAAGGAGCTGAAAATTTGAAACAACAGTGACACTGGAGATGGACAATGGACAAACTTTGATCAGAAAAGCTTACTTGAGCTTAAGAAAGTTCTGTTTTCAGCTTTATTACCAAGATCATTAATGGTATCTTCATCACAGCTTTTTTCATCGCTTGAAGGATGGTATGATTCATCATCATTACCATCATCATACTCGTCTGCTTCATCACTTAAAGTGGCCCTGTATCATGTCCTATTTAAAATTCTAAAAAAGAAATTATCATTTTAAGACTGTTCATTTTTATGGGGTTAACTTTTAATTTGTAACATCCAAACAACATCATAAATATAGATTACCATTCTCATTGACAACATCATGACTGCTGCTTTCATTTACAAATGATTGGTGTGATTCCTCATCCTGCTCAATTCCAAAGACTCTGTGAAAACATTCAAATTAGATATTAAATTGGAAAATAACACTTTTCTTAAAAAATAAGATTAAAATTTATGAATACAATAGGGGTTATCTATTTTTTTCTTTTTGCCTTTACTATGCATGCAAAGAAGAGTCCCATGGGCTACAACATTTCCCATGTAAAAGAAGCTTTTCTTAATGTTTATAAAGAGTTTTTCTCCTTAATTTTCTCATGCAAAATTGTGAACTCATATTATGACCCTATCCTAACTCTAAAGGGTCTCTGAATCCACTATCCCCCCCCCCCCTCTTCCTTGCTTCCTTTTGGCCATGATTTGAACAAAAAGGAAGCTAAAAGAAGGTTTAAAAATACTTTTTGTGGTCCAGTTGTTCTTAAGAGGATTTGTAAAGATTTTAACTAGTACATAAATGTATGTATATATTTCAAGGTAAATCTTTGATGCCCTATTGTGGCCCCATCTACCTCAAAGGCCATTTTTTGAACAATTTAAAATCTTTATTACATCAGGAAGCTTTCACATAAATTTCAGCTCCTGACCAGTAAAGTGAGAGTATTATGGGCTTTGAGAAGAAAATACACATTATGGTTTAATTTGACCTCCAAATCTTTTTTCTAGTACCATAATAGTGTACGATACATTTATTAACTTGACAACATACCAGTCTTCTCCTGGATTTTGTATGCTGGTGAGCACAGACTGGGCTCACAGTTTCCAGCAAAGTTATCAGCTGTAACTCTAAACTCCCACTCTGAGTCCTGAGGAAGATCGGTGACAGTAAAGAGGGGTCAGTGCAGGGGTACTCATTTCTCTGTTCCCTTAAACCTCTCTTCTACAAGGTAGTCTACAAAGATAATCAATATTATCAACTGCTACAGTGTTTATGTGGTTTTGAACAGAGATCAACATTTCCCTTTTTTTATTCTACTTTTAAATTAGTACCTGTAATTTTACAGCCACCATTATGTTTAGGTGGTTCCCATTTCAGATAAGTTATAGAATTGTTGACAGCCTCTGGTACAACAGGTGGCAAAACCTTGGCTAAAATAAAAGTTTAAAAACGTGAAAGAAAAAATAATTGAAAATAAAGTACAATATGGTAATTGTTTTTTAAAATGTTATAATTTTTTTCAAATATACTTACTGTATTTGGGCTTGGGAGTTATGGGACCAATCACATCACTAGACTCACTGATTTAAAAACCTTCAAGATTCTTGGCCTGTATGTGGAAGTTGTATTCCTTGTCCTTTTTTAATCCCTTCACTGATGAAAAACTCTCAAATTCAAGTTTTGTAAACAAAACAAATTTCAAGAATCACTTTTGTAAAACATCTTTACACAGTTTTCAGCCATAATATACTAATTACATGCAACAAAAGGACATGTAAATCCACTTACTAGTTCATAAGAAAGATACATGTGTCAACAAGTAATCAGTTACTCACCCTCATAAACACACTCATCTACTGGGTAGTCATTAGCCTGCCTCCAGTGGTGGGGTCTTCGTATTCTATGACATATCCTATAATCTTCTTAAAACCATCATTTCTTGGTTTGGTCCAAGAGAGAGATTGACAAAATCTTCATCAATGTCGAAAACACTTGGATGTCCAGGAGGATCACAACAAGCTGAGGGAAACATTTAATATTTTCAAAATTTTTCAACCCAGTTCATCATGCAAGCACACAGACATTCTTTTAATTGTATACACCAATCAATGCTCTAATCTTAACATATCCCTTCATATTGAAACGAAGTCTTAAAGTTTGGAATTCATTTGATATCTAACAATTCATGTTCAACAGAATTATCACTTCACTTCAGCTTAGCTTCAGGGGAGAGATCAAAATTCATACACATCTACAAAAACTAATCAATCACCTGAAAATGAATTTCTTTGGCTACCACTTAAATACTTAGATGACTTGCAAAATAAAGTGGACAGACAGGACAGTATATATAGCTTGAACGAATAGGGATATACTAAAATACTTAACTAAATGTGCATTCTCAACCAAAGAGCCATAGCTGCCTTACCGACGACACGGCCGACTCGAGAATTTAAAAGGAAATCACCTGTTTCTATTTATAGATATACTGTACCTTTTCAATTCATGAGCAAACTATCTAATATGATTTGAGGACGAGTGTTGCAAGTATGTCATATGACAATCATTTTACTTGTTCAATACTCTGATTCTGAGACAAAAGATTTACGCAGAAAATCAATAAAAATAAAACAAGTTGCTATGAATTTGCAAACTTTAATAAAATAGTTAAGGACTGTCTTTTCCCGAGATACTTTCAAAGTGTAATGTGTATATTATATCTTTCTGATATTGTGTATGTTATAAAACATAATAAAGAAAAACGTAGAAAAGATACACAAAGAAAAAAAAATTAAAAAAAAAAAACATAAATGGAAAAATGTGGGGCTCGAACTCGCAATCACCATATTTACATTCCAGCAATCATACCGCTGCGCCATCGAAGTCAATGATGTCAAGTTGATAAATTTAAGACAGATTACTAAATCTTACGATTATATGAGAAGAAAAATTTAATACATATTTTCATCATTTTCAATATGAAGACCACTTTTAACCAAAATTATCTAAAGGGAATGAAGTGCAGACATATCCAAATAAAATTATTCAAAAGTTGTTTTTCTGGTTAAGGGTGGTCTTTGGCAACAGTTTGTCATCGTTAGGTGGATACCTCAATATTTACTATATATTCTATACAAACTGGATAATTTTCAAATTTATCATATGAGGGAACTATTAACATTTAAATATCATTATTGTGTGATTTGGTTTTACGCATGTATAAACTAAGACTGTATGACAAAATTTTGGTTTAAAAATGTATTTAAGAAATCACTAGTAGAGTAGGCGAAAATGCCTATCAAATGCGCTATGGCTCTTTGTGCACAGTGCACTATTTAAAGAATGTCCATACAAAGTAGTCAAAATACCAATCCCAAAGATCTTGAACTTAGCATTTTACAATTTTTTCCTCATAAAAATAGACAAATTCAAAATTTGATGAAAAATATTAATGCTCTCAAACTAGGAATAATTAACATTTTTGGTGGAATGGCTCTGTTCAATGGTACCAGTTATGGAAGAAAAAAAATGCTGCTGTTTGTTATTTATCACAAAATACATTGTATTTAAAAAAAATTCCATTTCTTTTTTATTTTAAACATTTTTTCCTTTATATTCCCACAAAAAACTTTAATCCACTATTGTTTAACACTTAAGAAGCTGATTCCAAACATTGATCGAAAATGAAAATAAACCAATGCAAGGAAACTCACAATATCTGTGTGATAAATGTATACAGACAGGGAAACTCACTACATGTGGGTAAATAATGCACTCTGGCAAGGAAACTCACTACATGTGTGTTAATAATGTACTCTGGCATGGAAACTCACTACATGTGTGTTAATAATGTACTCTGGCAAGGAAACTAACTACATGTGTGCAAATAATGTACTTTGGCAAGGAAACTCACTACATCTGTGTAAATAATGTACTCTGGCAAGGAAACTCACTACATCTGTGTAAATAATGTACTCTGGCAAGGAAACTCACTACATATGTGTGATAATTTTAAACAGACAAGGAAACTCACTACGTGTGTGTAAATAATATACTCTGGCAAGGAAACTCACTACATATGTGTAAATAATGTACTCTGGCAAGGAAACTCACTACATGAGTGTAAATAATTTACCCTGGCAAGGAAACTCACTACATGTGTGCAAATAATGTACTTTGGCAAGGAAACTCACTACATCTGTGTAAATAATGTACTCTGGCAAGGAAACTCACTACATCTGTGTAAATAATGTACTCTGGCAAGGAAACTCACTACATATGTGTGATAATTTTAAACAGACAAGGAAACTCACTACATCTGTGTAAATAATATACTCTGGCAAGGAAACTCACTACATGTGTGTAAATAATGTACTCTGGCAAGGAAACTCACTACATGTGTGTGTAAATAATATACTCTGGGAAGGAAAATCACTACGTGTGGTGTGCAATTATTGTCCTCTGACACGGAAATTCACTACATCTGCGTGATAAATTTTAAAGTTAAAGATAGAAACTCAAAACGTCTACACAAATACTGAGGTATGTGACTAATGCAGAGATTATTAGATACTGTACATAGCATGAAAAAAATTGCTGGCTTCACATCAATGTTGCTATGGAATGAAGGAAAAAAATATACTACATGTTTTGTCTTTGATGAAAAAAGAAAAAAAAAATAAAAAAGATAGAAATAATGTTATATTGTAATATATTTCAATACAAAATTTAATATTGCAATGTATCCAAGGTATTGTAATAGGATTTTTAATTTGCAATACCTAGCACTTAACTATGAACACAATGAGTGATTTGGCAATGTTAAAACAAACTACATTTCCTTTGCAGTAAATTCATCATCAACTTGTTCCTACTATGGATAAATTATATATGGCTCAACTAGTATTATAAACAATGAAAGTATATCCCTGAATAGAAAATAGCAAAATTTATATTTTTTTCCCTAAAAATGTATGTCTGTAACATGAATATATTTCATTCAGAATGAAAGTAATAATAAAGAAATAATCCTTGAAATATTATGTTTTTTACGTTATGTCAAAAATCTTGACGCGAGCCCATTGCAGAGGTGTGAGAGAGGAACGAACGACTACTCTACATAGGAGATTGGTAAACAGCAACCCCCCCCCCCCCAAACAAACAAACAAACAAAACAAAAAACACGATATAATATCTAATCATAATATTTAACCTCCTGGGGTAGTGAACTCTATAAAACATGTTTAGTAGACTTATCTATAATGCATATCATAGAAGAAATATGGAATCAAAATAATCATCCCAAATTAAACATACATGTATTAACCATTAGAGAGAATCTAGGTATGTCACTCCAGTTTGTTTACTTTGTACCCCATTGGTTTTTCTGAGTAGAAATCATGTTTTTATTTCAAAATGAAATGCCATTTCACATTCTTTTGACATATAATTCAGTCTGTCTTTAATTTGATGAAGCTTTTAAATTGGATTTGCATCTCATAAGAATCCTACAATTTATTCTCAAATACAAATCAATCAGTGTTTTGGAAAATCCTTAAGTAAAAGCAAGAGGCCACTCAATCTCATTCATAACAGTATGTCACTTCTTTTCATATCCATGCTCAATACATTTCACTCTGATTCTTATTCTTCATAATTTCAATACTTTGCCGATGCTTCATTGTGTTAGCAATGTATACCAGTTTTTCTTACTTTTATACTAATTCCAGTTCTTAACTACTGTAACATTATTTTTAAATTTGCAAATTAAATCTCTGTTACAAATATCAATTTAAATATTTTTGTTGTAGGCAACCAAGAATTCAAGTAATGTGAGAAAAACAAAATGCCAGTAATATGTCTTCAATTATGTCATAAAAATGACTCTGACCATCCGAACCGAGCAGCATCCAATCTTATAATTATGTGTTGATACTCATAAGTGTTGTCATATCGGACAATTTTTAGTAACCGGTTACTCGCTTACTTTGCCGATCAAGTAAACGGTTACACGGATGGATTTTTTTTTTTAGACCTTTAAACATCCTTGCTCATGGTTTGTATTCAATAATAACTGTAATATATGTAACGTCATTACAATTTCCATGTTTAACATTTACATACTGGCCAATATCAAACGCAAATGCACTGTAGATGCATTTCATTTATTTATTTTTAATTACACAAAGACAAATTAAAGCTTCTAAATGAATTTGTTCTTGAATATCCTGTAATAGTTGGCAATTTTTGCGGATGTCCTAAATATAAACTTACTTTAGTTTCGTTTCTGTGTATGTTAATTTCATTTTACATATTTTACACCTTTCGGATTTAAATTCTTTTAAAACATTTCGGAATCTATGCTTTTGATGGCTGTGGAGGCATCTTGTTTAAAATTAAGCCTGTACTGCGGACTAGCACAGTATAAGTGAGGTAATTATAATTAACCCAGGTTTTCTACATTGTATACTGCTTGGCAATCAAAGCCATCGATTAGATAAACTGTGAAAACTAAGTGTTATCAAAACAAATCGGTCATGTTTGTGAAACGCTAGATCAAGTCTAACGTTAAATAACGGTAAATAAAATGGTAGAAGTGTACATTCATTTGTGAACAAAATAACATTTCTTTTCTACTTTTGTCTATATATCCGAGTAACTGAGTAGCAGTTTTACTATCTGATACTTGCATTGTTTGCCGATTAACCAGTTAACCAGGTACTCGTTGACAACACTAGTAGAAATGGTTAAAATGGCATCACACAAAATAAAGATAAATTAATTATTCAAACAACAGGGAGTAATACAGTAAAACATGCTTACAATAGCAAAGAGCCGGGGACCAAAATATTTAATTCTTTATAAACATAAACTTTCCATTTACAACACTTTTAAATCTATGGGGAAGGAAATCACTTCAATGTAAGCATATAAATTCATTTTAAGCATGTTTGCTATAACAATGTTCTGGCTGATTGATTTGAAAATTTTATAAATGGTTCTTCAATGATGTGCACAATTTAGGAGACACTGCAACAAATGGAAGCTAGACCACTGCTCCTTGATGAAAATATATCCTTGTTCGTAACCTTATTATAAATCTAGCTTAATAGTCAGACTGGGTGAAGCATATCTTTATGAAGTATTGATACTGATGGTGGCATTACATAAAATCAAAGGCCTGAAGGCCTGAGAGACGCATCGCACTGAAGGTAGAAAACTCAAATTTTTTTACTCAAAAAAATTCGACATACATCTTGAGGGAATGAAAAAAAATCAGGAATAAAAATAAAAATAAAAAATATCATTTCTTTGAGGTTAAAAAAAGATTTTGAGTTGTGGCATTTTTTAAGTCGGTCGGAAGAGGGCAAACAAACATTTTTTTAAAGATAGTCTGATATATCAATTATAATTCATTGATATTTAAATTAATCTATAATTGATTTTAATTATACTTTTATTTTTTTTTATTCTTTCATTATAAACATAGTAGAAAGATGAAATAATGAACGAGAATTTATAAATGAATGATTATTGAATAATTCTATATAATTTCATATCTGAATTTTTTCCGTTTCTTTCATTATGAGCATTTTTTTAAATATAAATACTTTGTCTTAGACTAGTTTTATCAATCAAAATGACATAATACGTAAACCATAGTGGGATACATGAAATGTTCATATAATTCGGACTGAAAAAAAAAAACAATCGGGAGTGGTATACGGTATACTATGAAACACGTTTCCTCCGATATTTTCGATAAAATTAACTCAAAAAGTCTATGTTTATACGGTATTAGTAAACCTATAAATTGAAATCCACTGTCATTGCAATTTTTTATCAGATATTTTATCATACTCAACTGACATTTTACCAAAAACCGATCATTTCACCGTTTCGTGTCACCCTTCCTCGTGGAATTTTTTTCCCAAAACAGTCTAGACGAACTCCAAAAACAGCTTTGCTTTTCCGGAAGTAAGAAATTGAGACTGAAAAAGACTCCGAAAATAGAGTCTGCGCATGCGCACACGCACAAAAAATAGCGATTTTTCGGCAAAAATGATGGGTCTACAAAAACTGTCTGTGCAAAGTTTTGGAAAGTATGGCAATTATGCCAGTACTCAGAAATGCTAAATAAAAGACTTCGGAAGAGATCGTATTTGTCAGATTTTTGATTTTATTTGCAAAAAAGGAGATATTTACTTTCAAAGTTGACGTTTGAAGTCAGGTCAATTACAGATAAAATGATTCGTTTGAGAAGTAAAATGCATAATAAAAGGGATATATATGCAAAATGGGACAATACATATTGTAACTGTTAAAAACTTGACTGAATTTTACACATATATTAGCATTCCGGTATTTTTATTTGTGTACGACATCTGAATTAAACGCGTAAGTTCTTACCATGGTTATTTACCGATTTTTTTTTTATCACATACGAACAGATATTATTATGAAAACATTTTTAAAACTATTAGCTATCAAAATGAAATCTTTAAAAACCACTCTTCTAGAAATTAAGGTCACAACATGTCTTCTAAATATAAACCTGTGAATATCTCTGCTCCGTAGTGAAAACTGCGCATTTTCTAATTAAAATACATACAAGCTGGGTGTCTTCAAAAACAAGTAAAAGCACCTAGATATCGTAGGAATAACATAAAATTTAAATCAAGGAGACAATAAATCAAATAAGAAAATAATTCTTACCGGCAGTACTGAATTCGATGTCGCATAATCCAATTTACTACTATGCAAGAGTTTGAAGCAATAAATAAGTCAATATCCACAAAATAATTTCATATATATAATTATCCATTCAACAAAATTAAAGTAAAGTCATAATGCACTAAATACAGCCATTATGCAGCCGTATATTTGAAGAAAGCGAACGACAATCCATCGTTTGTTTACATCAGACGCCATTTTGCCGCAATGCATGATGGAGCCAAAGACTTCGTTTTCGGAGTTCACGCCGTTTTTAGAGTTCGTCTTGACTGCGAAAGGTGGCCCTTGTTGCAAAAATTTATTCAGTTGAACATCTTTCTATTCGTTTCATCAAGTGAAAAAATAATGATATCCCTTCTATTTCTATAAAAACAACCATCTTGTTCCTACTGTTAGTGATGTTTTATAAAATAAAATTATTGTATATTTTTCTCAGATATTTGTACAAGCAATGTCGTATTACAAGGCCTAATAATTTATGGCAAGAGCTGTTGCGATGTAAATAGATCTTACTCCGCGTAGCACATGTTTGTTTGTTGTTGCTTTCTCTCTTTCTCTATTTTTGTTTTGTTTTGTAATTGTTTCTTTTTTGTTATCTTTGTTGCTTTCAAAGTATAAACAACATATATATGTGAGATTTTATGTTATTTGGTATTTAAAATAGACAATGAATATCACCAACTTGTCAATATACATTTGCTCTATTTTCAATGGCGTATTTAGAATCAATATTGTGGAGTCCTTTGTCGCCGCAGTAATTGAAAAGAAAGAAATGGGGGTCGACTGCAATGAGGCCACATCGCTGTTAGGGATGCGCCTCAAAAAATAGTTTGTGTCCAAAAACATGTGAATAAACATGATAAATATTAAATCCCTCTTTATGACATTATGATATCATGAAATTAGCTTAACAGCAGACTGGGTAGTGCAACTTGTATAATTATATTTATATATGTTACCTGAATTAATCTCATCAACATCATCACTGTCAAATGAATTTCCATTGAATTCCCAACTAAAAGGGTCCGATTCCACTTCCACATCTGAGCTAGCCATTTGGATGTCTAAAACATCAAAGCATTTAGATTCAACATCACCTTTTAAAAATTAAAACTGTCTTCAAACAAGAGGCCCATGGGCCACTATGCTCACTTTGGTCAAATAGGTTCAATAAAAGACTTACTTATAGACACAAAATACATGTATTACAAAAAAATTTATCAATTCAGATTCTGAGATCTTATTTTCCAGGTATAAGTCTTCTTCTAAATGTGTTTTTGTGTGACATCATATTGTAACTAGGGGATTGCTCTAAAATCAGCCCCAGTATTTCCAATTTGTTTAAGCATCATTTTTGTTAAAAATTATACAAAAAATATTTTTTGGAAAAAATATACAAACTTAAATTTAAATACAGATCAATCTGGATTTTAACTTTTTTGCACAAAACTATAAATTAAGAGCATATAAAATTATAATCATGTAATGAAAAAATATGAAATTCAAGCAATATTATCATTCTTTCTACATCCATCCACTTTACAAAACAAAACCACAGATGTTGAGAGTAAATTAATAATATAAACTTACTTTAATTTATAGTCTGATATAAATTTGATCTCAAAACCTTTTTGGTCAAAGCCAGCCTGGCAGTAAAAATCTGCTTCTGACGAAGGTGACATTCGTCTTCTCTGAAAATAGATGTGATCAGGGAATACATAAGCTTTAATTCATAACATACTATATAAATGGTGCCTGTTTTGGAGGGTAACAAATGAAATTGACACCCTTTTGAAAACCATTGTTAACCTTTTGTTTTGTCATTGAAATGATCCCTCCTGAAATATTTTATCGACCAAATATTAGAAGATTTTTTTTTAAATTTTAATCAATTCTTTGCCTGTAATCAAATGACCACCAAAACTTGTGTTGGATCTAAGGGAAAACAAGTTTCTTGGTTGACTAGTGATACTTTTTACAAAAAAGTTAACTGTTTATTGAGTTTTTTTTTAAACATATAAACATAGGTAATCAAAGATTACAAAGCTCAATGAATGGTACACGTGTATCTATAAGTAAGGTAAATCTTGTACCAATTTTGTGCGAGATCAATTATCAACGCAAGTTTGGTTAAAGTAGGAATTTTTTAGTTGCATGGGAATAGACCTGCTCCAAAAACTTTAAACTTAAACTGTTTACTCATAAAGAAAATGTAGGTCAGTTCCAGCATCCATAGCATGTCTGGTAGTGTCCATCCCTAGCTTCGTCATCCATGCAAGTTTAGTCATAACATGTCATATAGTGATAGAGCTACTCCAGACATTACTCTGGTCACATATCTGAAAAATGTAGGTCAGATTCAGCATCAAAAGCAAGTCTTCTTGTGTCCATCTTTAGATACATCATTCCATGCTAGTTTGGTTCTGGTAAGGCTAATAATTACTCATCTGGAAAATAAAGGTTAGATCCAGCATCCAAAGCAAGTCTGGTAGTGTCCATCCCTAGGTGCATCCTCCATGCAACTTTGGTTCAGGTAGGGCATAGTTACTTGGAAATGCATGGACTTGCTCCAAAAACTTTAACCTGGTCACTCATCTAGAAAAATTTAGGTCAGATCCAGTATCTGAAGCAAGTCTAGTATTGTCCATCCCTAGATGCATCATCCATGTAAGTTGGGTCCAGGTACGGCTTATAGTTACTTGGGAATGGACTTGCTCCTAAAACTTTAACCGGGATGCCGACACAAACGAAAATCAATAATTATGATTTGCCATTTAAATCACATGTTCAATTTCAAGTGTGATTTACAACATTTTCATAATTTTATTCGGTAAACAAATAAAAAAAAATTACAAATTCATTTTTAATGGACACAAATTATAGCTTGTATAGCCACTGTATTAGTGTAAAATGTGCACTGTGCCATTTGGCTGACCCCACAAAATGCAAGAAAGCCTGATTTTCTAGTTTGTAAGTTCATTGCAGTCTGCACTCTTGGTATTCGTCATCGAAATTAAATAAATCCATGATGTATCATATAACAAGAGGCCCAAGGGCCTTAACGGTCACGTGAGTATAAAACAATAATCCATAGAGGATCCATAGAGTATAAAATAAACTGATAGAACCTTAATTTGTTGCCCAAAAGCAAGAAAAATAGGATGATCATGATCTTCGAAATAATTAGTCTAATATTGAGTAACAACTCATAAATTAAGTTCTAATCTGTCCCCAATTTAGATTTTTTTCCTATAAGTTTTATTTTCTAATATGCCCCCACCCTACCCCCGAGGGTCATAATTTGAATAATCTTGAATCTACACTACTGTAAAACACTTTTTATTCACAAGAAATTTATTTTTGCGTAATTACGTGAGACAGTGTGCTCGTGAAAATTTCATTCTCACTTATCTTAGTATTCCTAAAGATTATATACAGCAAACACAATTCGTGAATATTCTGTCTCGCTAATAAGGAGTCAGTGACTATCTCGCGAAAATGAAGTGTCCCGAAAATTTAGTAATCTACAGCACCTGAAGATGTTTCTGTATTAAAATGACTAATCATGGCTTTGTTGTTCTTGAGAAGAAAATTTTTAAATGATCTTTCATATATATTCCTAACTAAAATTTGATCACCTGTTGTGTCCCCTCCCTACCCCAGGGGGTCATGATTTGAACAAATTTGAATTTACATTACCCAAGGATGCTTCCATATAAATAAGACAAATCATGGCTTTGCTATTCTTGAGAAGAAGATTGTTAAAGATTTTTCCTATGTATTCATATGTAAATCTTTGATCATAAATTGTGGCCCCATTCTATATTACCTGAGGATGCTTCCATGTAAATATAACCAATCATGGCTTTGCTGTTCTTGAGAAAATAATTTTTTCAAGATTTTTCCTACGTATTCCAATGTAAAAATTTCATTGTTCATTATGGCCCCACCCTCCCTGGGGATCATCATTTTAAGAAATTTGAATCTACACTACCTGAAGATGTTTCTACATCAGTTTCATCTTTCTTGGCCCAGTGGTTCTGGAGAAGATTTTTCCAATGTATTCCCATGTAAAACTTTGATCTCCCATTGTAACCCGCCCTGCCCCCGGCAGGGGTGTGCAGTTACCATTGCCCAACGCTCAGGGCTACCAATTTTAGAGGTTGGGCTATCATAAATCTATACTGCATTAGCCTGTCGGGCTAGTAAATCTGAAACGAAAGTATATGTATATTTACATCGACTGAATTGATGTACGAATTAACTTTGTTGTAAAATCATAATCTTTAATTCTTTTCAACATATATGTATTGTGTGTTGCTATCGCCAGTCTTTTCAGTGACTGTCACAATTATATTCAATAAAAATAGGGAGAAGTACCTGACAATAACATAGTGGAAACCATTATTTGTTTTATTTATTTCAACTTAAATATATATTTTTTTTTTTTTACCTTTTTGTTATACTTATACATGTATTGTTTTCGGTAGTTAATGGGCTAGTGATGATTGTAAACCTCGAGCTAGTAACTTTGTTACTTCCACTAGCCCAGGCTAGTAACTAATTTTTGTAATTGCACACCCCTGCCCAGGGGTCATGATTTGAACAAACTTGAATCTACACTACCTGGGGATGTTTCCACCTAAGTTTTATCTTTCTTGGCCCAGTGGTTCTGGAGAAGAAGATTTTTAAAGATTTTTCCTATGTATTCCTATAATGTAAAACTTTGATTGTCCATTGTGGCCCCACCCTACCCCTGGGAGTTATGATTTTAACAAACTTGAGTTTTCACTACCTGAGGATGTTTCCACATAAGTTTCATCTTACCTGGTCCAGTGGTTCTTGAGAAGAAGATTTTTAAAAGATGCCATTAATTTTTCACTAATTCTTAGTTATCTCCCCTTGGAAGACGGTGTGGCACTTCATTTGAACAAACTTGAATTACCTTTACCCAAGGATACTTTGTTGCAAGTTTGGTTGAAATTGGCCCGGTGGTTCTTGAGAAGAAGTTGAAAATATAAAAAGTTTATGCAAGACGCACACCCGCATGACGACGGATGAAAACAGATACATGTAGCAATAGGTCACCTGAGTGACTCAGGTGACCTAATAAAATCAGAGCCACCAATCAACATATTGACATCCACTGGCTAAGCAACAAACTTTTCCTCTGATGTGGTTCCTAACTCCAAAATATCAAGTCATTTTGCATGGCTGCACCACAGATTTATGAAATTGATGCATATGGAAAATATTACCTTAGGCCATTCCAAGTTTTTTCTATGTTAAGCATCCACCCATCTTTCAAATACTTCCCTACCTATTCGCAAAAAACACACAAACCAAAAAGTAAAACACAAGTCATTATAGCCATAAAAATGATGTCATTCAAAGAATATGATTCCATTAATCTATTTTTCTCGTAGAAATATTTATTCTTCAGCAAAATCAAGGTATTAAATGCTTAAAATATTCCAAATATGGCATATTGTAGACAAATTTAGAGAAATTGACAGAATTCAGTGAATCGACAAGAATAAACAATTTCAGGACTCCTGATTTTGTTTGTTTGTTTTTTTTTTTTTTTTTGTTAAGGGATGTCAAAAAATCCAAGGCACACGCGGACGCTAAACATTGAAAAAACTTGGAATGGCCTTAAATGTACAATGAAATACCATACTAACAAATTCTAATTAATTATCTAGGCTCGCTCTTTGATCTCTAAAAGTTGGCATTAAAAAATGATTTTGGTTTAAATATATTTTATTCTAAATACTTGCTGTAATAGATGACAAATCTCCATGAAGTTCTAAAAACAGAAAATTTATTTCCACATATCTGTTATCAAGGTGGCAGGGGATAATTTTTCTTTTCGATGCCAAACATGTGCCGAGGGGGTAGGCATATGCATGAGGTCAATAAAAACAGATCATAGTTTGGGGCAGTTTCTTGGGTGCTAATTAATTGCACTTCATATATCTATAGCTCAAAAAATGTGTCAACGTATAACATGTAACCTACATATTAAAGTGCACATGTACCGAAAATGCACTTGGAGGTCTCCAAAGATTTTGGCTTGTTTTTCCAAGATTTGGGCTGTGGTCGCACCTATACAGTCCATCCCATTCCTGAGCGAGCAGGATAAAACACCCAGTATTCTGTAGAACAATGCATGCCCTAATGAAAATTCACCAATTGATCTGGGGCCATTCACCTTCCCTCTGAGATGCACACCACTGCTTTTCAGCTGAATTTCCTCTGCGACTGACTAAATGTCTTAGTTTCGCATTTACAACTCTATATATGCTAAGCATCAGAGTGACACCTACATGATGCACATCATTTTTCTCAGCAAGCTCTGCTACACTGCACATGTACATGTATCCCATAATTATTCTATTCATTTTTCAACATAAAATATCACATCAATCAGGGGATATCTCAGTTTTTAAAGAAATTTGACAGCACGTACTAATCTATAGTATGAAACTATCCCCTGCCACCCAATGCCATATGGCCATAGTCAAGTCGTACCCAAGGCAATTCAAATCTTAACATGTAAACATACAAACATATATGGTTTTGAGTTGACACAGATAAATGCTGTTTTTATTCTCACGGATCAAAAAGTTCCTTGATAAAATGGTTTGCTTAACAGATAAAAGTTATGTAATTGATCCTAAAAGTTTCCTTTTATCATATTTTGCTAGTTGTACAGGGGTATATATATAATAAATTTATCATTATAACAGTAACTTGATCCTGAGACCCGTATTACGTCTCGTTGACAGGCGCGGATCATCAGATCAAACTCATTTGATCTGATGATCCGTGCATGTCAACTTGACATGATACGGCTCTTTGGATCAAGTTACTATTATAATTATATATATATATACTGGCCTCTGTTCTTCTTTCAGAAAATATCATAGGCTCAATTTCGTTGAGTCAATAATTTGGAATATCCCATAATTATCTCTTAATTTGAATCACTTAAACATGTTAAATCAACACATGCCCCTGATCGGCCGAGAATTGCAAAATTTGGTGGTAATTTGCTTTACATTTAGATTATTTTACAACGTATACTTTAAAATTTATTAAATATCCATTCCAATAAACAAAAAGAACAGATTACATTTATCGGAAAACAAATTTTTTACCGAGAATAAACATAGTTTGAAAAACTTGTAGTGTTTTGGGCGAGTAAACATGGTAATGAAGGAGATGCCTATCCCGTTAGTATATAGATCCCTAACTTAATGCATAGAATAATGATTATACGTTAAAAAAGTGTGTTATAAAATTTGCATTGTCTGTTTATGATACGGAATACAACAGATCTAGGGCCTATAAGTCAAAAAATTTATTTGTTTATTCATTTGAAAATTTTGTTACAATGCCAGGAAATGCAGACATGGCTCTTCTTTATAGTAAAATTCTGCGCCAGATTTTCATTTTGCTCCGTAAAAGTTCACTTCAATTATAATGCCCTGTTCACACGGAGAGTTTAATTCGAATTAAACATAAGTTACTGCGAATTAAATTTGAATCGCATTCGCACAGTGAATTTAATGCGAATTAGTTTAATTCAAATTAATTAACTGCACATTAAATTACTTCGCATTAGCTCCGTGTGAATGCTAAGCGAAGCTAATTCGAATTAAATTTTGACGCATGCGTAATGGCACAATTAAGTCACATGCCACATGTCTGTGGACAGATATGGATACTTATGCTATTTTTTAGTGGAAAACAAAGAAAAATTATGTTAATCACTGAAATGTGCATAGAGACTATGACAGAATGTAATATGGGTTTGCTGCGCATAAGGCGACGTGATTTGAAAATGACATCATAATAGCCTTACTGTAGAAATAAAATTTTAATTCCCATTAGTTTACTTCGCATTAGCTGTAGTGTGAACACAATTTAATTAGCATTATTTTAATTCACATTATTTACTTCGCATTAATTTACTGCGAATTAAACTCTCCGTGTGAACAGGGCATAACAATTTAATGCATGTTACTGTCAATCAAAAATTGTTTTAATCAGTAAATCGTGATGCAAAAACTAACATAACTTGCAGAAGTCAGCATAAACAATTTCACTAGCGAATCAAGATCCCATTAAAAAAACATTGGTAATGTAATGCAATATCACGCACTCAAGTGTATAATATATAATTTTCTTATCGGTATTGTAAAACAATTGATACCCCATATGAGTTCCACATGGTGAAAAGAAGGACCCTTGACATGACCGACTTGCTAACCAGACATGACCTCGGCCACTACGTGGCCTTGGTCAGGTTAATTAGAATAATCTAACTGTGTCTTGGGACAGGCCCTCACTACAGTTAGAATCCCTCCCATATACCAATAATATAGCAGAAAATTGCAGAATCGCTCCGAAATGATTTTGGAGAAAACTAATGAAGTTGCATTGAAAATAACAGTCAAATTAATCATAAAAAACCTTTTGAGACTGTAAATACCTTTCATCTAAAAATTTAATCCATATAATGGAAGAATTCAACACTTTTTCACCAACATTTTTTACTCCTTTCAAATTTACACAAGATGTTGACATTCAGAACTCTCGGGATATTTCATAGTAAATGCACAAAGTTAGAGTTATCTCCCGTATTTTCTTTGCTACATGGACAATACACGGAATGCATTCTATCGTTAAACAGGGTCCGTAGGACATTTATCATTTTAATGATAGAACATTCTATCTATGGTCAGGTCAGTTCACCTCGTAGACCAAGTCTTGGGTCCGTATTTCACCATGTTGACCTCAGAAGAGGTAATAAATTGTTAATATTGTTAAGTTATGAGTTGTCATCAATTTATATAGGGGAGTCAGCTTGTAACAATTCTCCTGGTTACGAGTTGAATTTTGTCGTTTCATTAATATGAGTTGACCTATTGGGTTTGATCTGATCTACTCAACATGCTAGAGGTTCACGGCGATATACTTTTGACTTGGCGCTCCGAGGTATATAAGGAGCGTAGGGACGTTTAACCGAGGCTCTTACTTGTAGGAGGAGATCTGACCTAGATACGATCATACGAGGC